AAAAACACGTGACCTGAAAACACTTTTGTCTTAAATTGGCCCTTATTGGGGGAAAAAAAGGTGTCTCAGCACTCCTTGTAGAAGCAGGGGTTTTTGGCCTCCAATGGGACACGTGGTAATGTCTGGGGACATTTTGGATTGACATAGCTGGGGGGATCCTGCTGGCATCTAGGTGGTGGAGGCCAGGGGTGCCACTCAGCCTCCTACAGGACAGATCCTAATAACAAAGAACGATCAGGCCCCAGATGTCGACAGTACTGAGGCTGAGAAACCCTGCTTTGGAAGAATCTCAATGACAAGTCTTGGATGAGTGACTCGGTAACTCAGGTCTGGCCCTCTCCATAGACTTGATTTTACAGATCTGCACCTTGGCCTCAAGCACTCAACTGACACTGAGCAGAAAGTCTGCCTGATGGGGTTGGTGTGAGTGCATGGGTTAGGAGGCTGTTGGTGAGAACACTGCCTGAAATCCCGTTCCCGGCTCCTTCAACGACCTCACAATCACCCCTCTCAGACCCTAGAAAAAGCAGTTGTTGTTTCTGGGATCGTTGTATCCTTGCAGACTTGTGCGTTTTGTAACGGGCGGATTTCCCTTTTCACTTTGACTGACGGGAAGCTCGGGGTCCAATTTGCAGCCCATCTTTGAGAACTGGGGAGGCCCTCTTTGAGAACTGGGGAGGCCCACCCAGAGCACATTTCTGCATACCACCGTCTTGGTTCACTGTACTGTTTGTTCCAGCCCTGTTTTCGTGATCTATTTTTATCCTATTGTATTTTCCATATTTTTGTAAGCTGCCTCTGATCCTTTTGGCAACAAAGCAGGGCAGAAAAACAAAACAAAATTCAGCAGAGCCCTGTGGCCTTGGCGGGTATTTTATAACGTGCCAAGGGGTCATTTCAAGGCTAGAGTCCTGCCAGGGAAGGCGGCTATCCCTGGCCCCGCTGGTCCCCTCCTGGGAGTCTCCGTTCTTGGAGAACAGCAGTTTGGTGGGTTAGAGCAACAGGTCTTAGAGGGAGAGCCGCTGATACCCATCTGCCCACAAATACCTTCCCCTCCCCCAAAATGTTCTTCCCAATCTCCCATCTGGCTGTTGCCAAGGGGAAACAGCTAGACAAGCTCTCGGGTCACTATTCCTAACTTGCCTTTCCCACATCTTCCGTCCGGGTCTTTAGGGTCCCGGATACTCTGCCAGTGGCTATCACTGCTGCTGAGTGTATGCAGGGGTGGAGTGGGGGTGGGGAGGACCTGCCCCAGTATGCAAAGGAGAGGCCCTTTGGGAAGCTGTTTGGAGGACGGGGGTGAGCCAGGGATGGGTGGGGGGTGCCACCTACACCTGAAAACTTCAACCCCCCAGCCCCCGCCAGTCACCCTGACCACTAACACACTCCGGGCTCTGGGAGCCCCTGCGTCCCACACGGCACACGGGCTTGGCTCGCCCTTCTTCTGACATGTCAGAGCCGGAGCCAATCCAGTCCACCTCAGTCTCTGCTCTGCTCACTGGACGCAGCCAGCGCTTTCTTCCCCTCAGCCTCTGTCTGCCCATCTCTACAATGGGCAGTGGGAGGGGGCGGGGAAGGTAAACCAGGTCCTTAAATTCAAAGATCCTAAGAACCTCTCCCTCTTGTGTTGACAGACTCTATTCCTTTTTGTCCACTTTCTCTGTTCTGGAAACATGGTGCCACCGGGTGTAGTGGGGAATGGCTTGTGTGCATGGGAGAACAGAGTCAAAGGTGAGCTTGAACGCCAGCAGAACACAAGCCCAAGGCTGCAGGTCATGCTCAGCAGAGACAGAGGCCAGGCCTGGGGGACTCCAGGAAGGACCTTTGCACTTCCTGGCGGCCCTCTGGACGACATGAATCATCAGCCACCAGCACCTAACCTGGCAGCAGGCAGCACCCCCTTTCCCGTGGGCACACAGCCCAGGTGAGCCAGGCACACCCTGACCAGCTCGGCCTCTCTCTGCGCCGCTCTGCTCAGCCAGAACACTGGCCCCGCTGGTCATTCCGGGTCCTGAATTGCAAATCACCAGGTTGGGACAGGGGTGGGGAGCCTGTGGAAGGGCTCTGGAGCCTGTGGCTGGGTCTGTGCCCAGCTCCTCCATTTCCCAGCTCAGTGGGGCGGGGCCAGTTGCCTTAGTGTCCTCGTCTGTAGAATGGGGGTAACAGAACAGTCTGGGCCTCCCTGAGTGGTCATGAGGGTATGAGGATAAACGAGGCCAATACAAAGAGCCATGCCAGGCACAGGTGGTCCTAAGGGTTGACACCCAGCCGTTACCACAGTAATGGGACAGAACGGCGTGTGCCGGAGCAGCATGAGAGCCCAGCACTGCGGGGCAGCGGTGGGGGTGAGGGGAGGGAGGGGAGATACCCCAATGGTGGCCAGGGCTGGGTGGGCTTGTGTTGATGCAGCCCCCAGGGACCCTGTCCCCCCACCCCACCTCGTCTCCCTTCCCCCCTTGGGGCCACCACACCCTGCTTGTAACTCCCACCCTTAGCCACATCCCTCATTAGCTGGGAAAGAGCCCCTGAAGGGGCAGAGGGACCTGGGAGACATTTTAATTATGGTTCTAATTGCTTCCCGGGGAGGATGAGCACAAGACCAGATCTCTTGGGTGGCTTGAGGCGAGGGGCAGGGTTCCAGAAACAGCCGCACCAGCCCCCAGCTGGGAAGGAGGCTGTGTGAGGGCCTTCAGCTCACAGAGCTGCTGGCCGGGCCCGGGCTGACACTCTGAGTCGCCCATGCCAAAGGGACCATGGGTGTGGACAAGGGAAGGCGGTGAGGTGGGAGCTGGGCCAGCAGGCCGGAGGGCTCATGAGGTCCCCACCCAGGACAGACCCACTCCCCAACCTCCCCTCCCGAAGGAATGAAGCTTTGAGCACCTTCAAGGTACAGGGCTCTAAGTCCATGATGTTCTGATTCTACTACTTCGTGACTTAGGGAAGACAACCCCGTGGCCTCTAGAGCACATTCCTTCCATAAAACAGGGACACCAGCCCACCTCGCAAGCCATGAGGCTGGACAGAGAATGGGTTGCCTGGAAAGGTGTTCTCCAGGCCAGGCAGCAGGAGGCCAGGAAAGAAGGGATGGCAACCCCTTTCCCTGACACGGCGCCCACTGTGTCCCGGTGGTGACTGCTCCCACATATCTGGGCCCCTGGGAGCTTGGGCTGGGAGGGGGCAGCTTAGAAGTAACTTTGCCAACACCATGACAGTGACCCTGTGTGCAGCCCAGCCCTGCAAGAGCAGCAGGATTCCTGTGTCACAGAGCAGCAGCCAAGTAACTAAGTGAGCAATGGCCCCTAGCTGGGAAGTGGCGGGTGGGGCACTACAGTCCAGAGCCCCCAAGTCCACCCGCCCAGGCAGGTCTCCAGAGGCTGGGGAGCAGGGCAGGGGAGGACCCCAAAGGAAGAGGGAGAGAAGCATCCTCAGGCCCTGAGCGCTGTGGGAGCACAGGCAGCCCCAGGAACCCCGTCTGCACCCCCACCCCTCCCCCCACCATATCCTGAAACAGCTGTCCCCAGAAGCAGAGGCAGACACCTGGTGTGCCTAAGGGCTTTCTTTTTTTTAATGTTTCCTCACTGTTTTAACAATACCATGAAAAAAAATATACAGTTTAGAATCTGGAGCTGACCGCCGAGTCTGGATGGGTTTCAAGGGGTAGCTGGCGGGGGCCGCACAGCCCCTTGTGATTCCTCCCCTAGTGGGAGCCACACTACTGGAAACAGCACCGACGGGGCCCGGGAATCAGGAATTTAAGTTAGTGTCTGGATCAGGATCTGACAAAACACGGAAGACTAGAGCAGCTACGCCTGCTGGCCCCAGGCTGGGTCCCGTGGTACGTCTGTCCGTCCCCCTCCCCACACCAGCTGGGAGGGGACAGGAGAGGGTAGGTTAGCTTGTTCCCAGGACCGGAAAATCACCCGTAAACCCTGGGCCGTACACCCAAGCTCCCACTGGATTCCCTGGGGCAGGGTGATGAGGACCAGAGAGAAATTTGAATTTCAAAAGAACAAATCATCCTTTTCTTTAGTGTAAGTATGTATCAAACACAGAGGGGGCATACTTATACTAAAAAATTTTCCTTTGTATGCCTGATATTCTAATTTATCTCGGCATTCTAGTTTTGTTCTGTTGCTACATCTGGCAACTCTATATACCCTTAGGGCCCCCCAAAGTGGGGGAGGGTTTCTGCCGGCACAAAGGCCTGAAGGAAGGGGAAGTAGTGTGTGCGTGGGGGGGGGGGGGGGGGGGGAGATCCAGTCAAAAAAGCTTTTATCCCTCCATAGGAATGATATATTATTTTTTAAAAAGTCATTTTCCAGGAACTTTCTATACTGGCTGCCTTCAACTGTTAATAGCTATGGGGCAGGAGGAGGGACAGACGAGTGCGGACACCCGCCCCACAGGTTCTAAATAAAGTTTGGAAGCACTTAGTATAAAGGTTTTCTAAAAGGATTTGATTTTCCTTCTGGCAGCAGACCTACTAACAACACTGTCCCAGATACCACTCTGGAAGGATTTAAACGTGACAAGAACAAACAAATCAACGTTGAAGCCAGTGCCCAACCTATTTCTAGTGTCTTCCTGGAAGAGCCCCTTCTAGAAAATTCCAGAAGCCTGAGGCCTCCTTTCGTTCCCCATCCTGTTCTCTTCCCCTAGAAGGGGCTGCGTTTAGTGCACACATTCAGTCCGGCTTTGCTCCGAGGGGCTCCAGGCTTGTGGTGCATGAACCCGGGATGAGGGACAGGGGGGTGCTGGGGGCCTGGGACCACCCTTCCTCCTGCCACAAGCCACCGGTCACAGGAGGAATGCCAGGAGAGGAAAGGGACAGCTGGTTCCTTCTGTCAGCCCCCGCCTGTCCCACAGTGCTCAGAAGGGCTGGGTGCTCCCTGCAGCCCTGGCCAGCTCCCCACAGCCCCCACCAGCGCCTCTCGTCCGGGAGGTCCACGGTCTGCAACCGAAGCCGGGCTCTTGGCTGCCCTGAACAGGGGACAGGGCAGGGAAGGGGGATGGTGGCTTGGGGGCAGCAGGGAGGCCGGGAGCCCTCACACTCGGATCTCCTCATCCTCCTCCTCGTCCATGAAGGAGAACTCCTTGTCGGGCTGCCGGGACAGCGGGGCCCGGGCCCTGTCGGGGCCCCGGGGGACTGGGCTGCGCTCATCCAGGACGCCCGAGGTGCAGCTGGACAGGGAGCTGCTGTCCCGCGTGGTGTGGCTGCCTTCACTGCGGGCCGAGCTGGGGCTGGGGGCCGCCGCCCACCCCTCGTCCTGGGGCAGGTCCGGGCCGGCCGCGCCCTCCTGCCTGGCCCTTGGAGGGCCCCCCGCCGGCGTTGCTGCTGCCGCCGCCGCTGCCGCCGCCGCAGTCAGGGGAGCCTGCAGGGTGCTGTGTGGTGCTGCGTCCCCGTCGTCATGGTAACCGCCATCCTCCTCCTCCTGTTCCCACTCCTCTTTGTCCATGATGCTGAGGACGTCGCCCAGCATGGAGGGTCCCAGGTCAATGTGGAAGGACATGATGGACTCGGCGTGCTTGAGCCCCAAGCCAGCCTTGGGCACGATGGGCAGCTCTGTCAGGTCCCCGAAGGCCTGCTCGTCCAGGAGGGGGTCCGGGGAGTGGGGGGCGGCCGCCCCATTCCGCCGGGGCCCAAGCTCCCCCTCGCCCACCTCCTCCTGGCCGCCCTCCCCGGAGCTCGCCTTCTTCACGGGGCTGGACGACAGGCTCTTGGGCAGCTTGCCAGAGCCCTTCTCGGCCGCCTCCTTCTCATTCAGCTGGGGCAGGGACATGGCGTTCTTGACGAACAGAGCCGAGTCCCGCAGGGAGCCCAGCATGTCCCTCTGCTCCCGGTCCCCCCTGGTCACCGACTGCGACCGCTTGCTGCCCCGGAACTTCCGGGACAGGAGGCTGCGTTTGGAGGACGAGGCGGCGGCCTGCTCGTCCAGGGACTCACCGTCCAGCTCGCCGGCCTTGCTGTTGAGGAAGGAGGTGTCCCCGAAGGCGTCCCCGGCCCGGCCCACGTGCATGGTGTGCCGGAAGTCGCCCAGGGGGGCGCTGATCATCTCGGCCGTGAGGTCCACGCGGGAGCGGCGCTTGGAGTGCACCGAGCTGGACACGAGCTGCTTGAGGATAGGCATCTTCCTCGGGGGATGACGGGGGAGCTCCCGGGGGCACGGCAGGCGGCTAGGGGGGTCAGATCTCAAGTCTGGCGGGTAGAGGGGGTGACGTGGAAGAGATCATAGGGCTGCAAGGAGAGAACAGCAGACAAAGGGTTAACCCCCACTGGCCACACAGCACCAAAGCCCAGTGGCCCAGAGAGGCTGCTACTCAAACCTCAGCCCTCCCACCAAAACCAACTCCCGTGAAATAAGCCGGCCATCAGCAATAGGCATCTCAACCCGCCTTACCTCCCCTAGCCCTGCCCAGGCACTCGGGTCAGGGGAGCGCTTTTTACAAAGCCGGGTGGAGGTCAGACATACTCCCCCTGAACCCACGAGAACAATGTCTGCCCCCAAGCCAGGATGCCACCAGAGCGAACGCAACCACACTGGAGGAGATGGAGGTACACAGGCGAGTCCACGTGGCAGTCCAGGGCTGGACACATGCTCTAAGTCCTTCCTGCTGTCTGACCTCAATCCCTGCAGTCAGGGGACACTTCAACCTGAGTCACAGTCCTCAGAGAAGGGAGCCAACAGGACGGGCCCCAGAGAGACGCTGCCGGACACACCTCCTCCCCGTGTGTGGGCGGCCAGGCTCACTTTGTGAATCAGAACTAGGGTAGGGCTGCCAAGACCCACAGGACCAGCTCCCCAGCCTCCCAGTCCTTGCTGGGTGTCCCATAAATGAGGAACCCGCCTGCGACCTCTCCACCGTGGCGCCAAGCTCTTTGCCGAAGACTCACTCTGTGCCTCTTGGAGATGAAGAGAACTGCGCCTGATTTCTTTAACCATCAGGGTGGGGGGCGGACAGGGTCCAGATGATTGGTCCCCGAGATCCTCAGACCCCCAGCAGAGGCTGGGCCATCTGAAAGCTAGAGGAACCACCCACATAGCTCCTGGCAAGCACCAAAATGAGGTCCTGTGTTGGAGCCAAACGGCCCCCTTGTCCTCCAGCGCGACCGGCTCCAGATGCTAAAGCTGGTAGTGTAGGGCTGAGAAGGGTGGGGAGATGAGGTGTTGCCCCCCAGTCTTGCCAACAGTTCTCAACTCTACCTTCATGGCAGCCCTACCCTTCCCACCGCAAAGGACAACCTGTAGGTACCCCACTGGTTTCCTCCTCATCCCCAACGCTGCCCCCCACATCCCACCTGACCCCTGACACGAGCCCGGAGGATGCCCATTTTTCCCCTTCTGCCCCTCTCCAGACCATTCGTCACCGTTTATCTAAAACAAAACCCCTCCAGGACTCCACAGCGCAGACCCCTAGATCTGCCACCAGTCCTCGCCTCCCTCCCTCCTCAATGCCATTCCTTGCTGTCCTCTACCTCTGCCCTGGGCTCCCTGCCCCTGGGTGGCTGCCTCCTGGACTCCAGGACTGGACAAATGCAGGTCCCTGGTAGATACCCTGTCACCTGCCTCACCCAACATCCTTCAGGGCTCAGATGACATGTCACTTCTGGGAAACGCCCTCTCGGCCACCTCTCCTCTGGCCTCCCAGCACTCTGGACGTCCCCGCTCCCACAGGCACTGCTCCCTCATTCTACTCCCGCCCACCGGGCTGTAACCTGCCCACTGGACACGAGCTTCCAGAGCGGGTCTGATGGACCTGCTCACCGCTGACGCCCACTGAGCGGACCCACGGAAGGAACACCTTCCTTGGCCATAGTCTATGGACTCTTAAACTCATGGCCAGACTATGGGCCATAGTCTGTGGACTCTTAAACTCATGGAAAGTACTGGCCTCAGGGTCATCCCCTCACCACTGTTGAGAAGAGGGTCACCCTATGTGACCCTCTGGGCCAGCCATGGGCTCTCAGGCCAAACTTTGGGGGAAAACTCTCTTTGGCTAAAAAAGAGAAAGGGAGTCTGCAGTTGGCTTCAGACTTGGTAGGAACGGAAGGAAACCAAACCAGGTTTCCAGGGATACTCTGACACTAGAGAACCCCTCAGGCTTCCATGGCCACCCACCAAGCAAGAATGGAGAGGGCTCATGAACCTGTCTGCCTCTAATCACAGAGTCCTGGGATTTCAGAGACCTGGGAGGGAAGGGACACCCAGGGTAGCCCCAGAAAATAGGCGTACTGAAGCCAAGTGACTTATCCAGGTTTGTGCCCCAGAGGGTGGAGCTGGGCGAGAAGCTGGTCTCCTGGTCTAGTGCTCTCTACTCTGCTCCAGACCTTTCTCTGGCCTTTGGTGGGTAGCGCCGCTCATCAGTTACCATGACCCACAGAATGCCCCCCACCCCGCCCGCTTCCAGGTCAGGGGAGCCCAGAGAGAGGAGGAGTCTGGATGCTTCCTTCCTCAAATGTCTCCAGCATCTCCAGGCTTGCCAAATGTCCCCGGGACGGGGGGCGCAAACAGTTCTGAACACAGCTATGGAATTAAAACTTCTGCTATTTACCACGTACACACACACAGAAAGTGGAGAGGCAGGGCAGGGGGCATGAAGGGCTAGAATCGTGGGAACACAGCCGTGAACTTGCAGAGGTGCGGGAAGGGTTTCAAGGCAATGGCAGGAATCCCCAGACTCAGTGAGCAGCCAGCCCCTTCTGAAGCCACTTCCCTTCTGAAGTGCTCCTCCTCACAGAGAAAAAGACAAACCACAGGACCCAGCAGCCAGGGCCTCAGCAGACCTGGTAAAGAGCTCTGTGGCCACTCACAGGGTCCTGGTACTCTGGCCATCGTGACTATGGGACAGGAGGGTCCCATCAGCCCCCACTTCTATCCTGGTGGGCAAAAAAAGGAGAACAGGTGAGAGAGGCCAGCAGGGACACCCGAGGGTCAGCCCCCAGCACCTGGCTCGGCCCTATGCCCCGGAAAGAAAGCGAAAGTCTGGCCAATGCTATCTTCTGCTTGTGGTCTCACTCTCTGGGGGTGGGAAGGAGGGTTTTTGGCTCATAAAAAACCAAAGCATCTCCAATACCCAGCGTGAAAAAGTCTCAAGAGAGCTGGGGCCTGTACGAGTCACCTACCTGTCCCACTGCCTAGCTCGGAATCCGGGAGTCTGGCCCAGGTCTGGGTCTCTGGAATCCTAGAGCTCAGACCCGACCTGCCAGGCTTCAGGGCTGGTGAGAACCCTAAGCTCTGAACACAGAACAATGTGGGGGTGAGGAATACTGAGATTAAGGACCAGCAGGTGGCCGGGCAGGTCAGGGGGCGGTCAGGATACCTAAGAGCCCACCAGGAAGGGAATTGTGCCAGAGAGAGCTGGCTGTGTCTCTGGCAGGGGGTGTTGCTAAGTGAGATGACTCAGCTCTGGGGAAGTGGCTAAAATAGGCTGCCCGATGACAGGGTGGCCACTCCCCACAGCCTGCCCAGGGTGGGGCACCCCTCACCCCAGCCCGGAAGCCACATCCCACTTTCCTGGCAGAGCAAAGGAAAACCCTAGCAGGAATTCACGGCTCTCCCTCACTCTCCCCAGCCTCTGATGGGACTAGACTCCCCTACCCTTGACCCCACCAACCACAGAACATTCCTTTAGGGCAGGAGCAGGGAGCCCTTCCTGGAAGGCCAGGCCCCTAGGTTGGTTTACCCCGACCACACCCGCGGCTCAGTTCTGCTCCTGGGACTCCAGAGGACAGCTCTCACCTGGACCCCTCCCCCATCCTTCCTGGCCCGTCACACACAGAGCACCGGCCTCCCAGATCAGCCAGTCCAGCAGCAGCTAGACAGACAGAAGGACAGGCTAGACGAATCCACAGCTCCCAAACACCCAGGCCCTGGCCAGCTGCTGGCAGCCCGACCGAGGCAGGAGATAGAACTAAGCTCTCTGGTGGCAGAGGGTCAAGCTCCCCACTTCTGCAGCTGTCCTGCGGGTCACCCTACTCAGAGGACACACGCTTCAATGCCCACCGCATCGCCCCTGGGTGGCTGTCCCTCCATCGGCTCCGCCGAGCTGTCCTAATGCCCATCCGGGGCCAGCGCTGAGCAACATGCCTGAACAGAAGGGAGTACGTGGTAAAGGACGGCCTGTCGTGGCTGGGAATGGCTACAGGAGGCTTCATTCATTCACTCATTCATTCATTCATCAACTTCCTGCAACCCGTCAATTTCCCATACTCTTTTAGGCCCTGCAGGCAGAAGGGCAGTGAGAATCACAAGCTGGATAGGCCCCGGGCCTTCCTGGGGCATGTGTGTACTGTGAGTGCGGCTGGGCAGGGAACAGGGCCCTACGGACCCAACTAAGACAGTCTCTCGCAGTCCTCGGCGCCCAGAGGGAAGGAAATGAGGAAACGGGAGCCAATGTGGGTGTTACAGGACGGGGGGGTGGGCCCTCTGAGGAAGAGGCTCTGTGGGCTGAGGAACGGGAAGATGGGAAGGAACCAGGCAGGTCAAGGGCCACCGGGTGATAGCACAGCCTCTGCAAACACCCAGAAGTGGGAAGAAGCTGGTGGAGCTCGAGGAACAGAATGAAAACCCAGGGGCCACCGGCCCGGCAGGAGCTCGGATGGTGTTCTAGGTATGAAAGGAAACCAACAGGTAGTTCCTGAGCAGGGAAGTCATCCAATCGGTGCATCTGGAGCTTTTCATGGCGGCCGGCTCTGCAGGCATGGAGAGCAAGCAGGGGCTCAGGGCAAAGAGAATGAGGGCCAGGAGATGGACACGGTGAGGAGGTGGACGGGGGCCCGGGGGGCGCATTCAGGGCATGTTCTGGAGGTAGGGGCGCCAGGAACTGCTGAGGGCGGAAAGGGGAGAAGAGAGAAAAGGCAGACGGGGCAAAAGGCGAAAGGGGGGACGCCTGGGTGGCTCAGTTGGTTAAGCGGCTGCCTTCGCCTCAGGTCGTGATCCCAGCGTCCTGGGATTGAGTCCCACATCGGGCTCCTTGCTCAGCGGGGGGCCTGCTTCTCTCTCTGCCTCTGCCTGCCACTCTGTCTGCCTGTGCTCGCTCTCCTTCTCTCTCTCTGACTAATAAATAAATGAAATCTTAAAAAAAAAAAAAAAAAAAAAGGCGAAAGGGGCCTTCCAGGCCCCATGCCAAGCGCCACAGGCCTTCTGCGGTGCCAGGTCTCACCCAGTGGGCTACGGACCCTCTGCCAGGTATGCAACTGACATGCCACCACCAGGGAGAGGTTCATTTGGCCAGAAC